GATGGGGAGAGCAAACAGGAGTCTATATGGGAGAGGAAGAGTGAGAGAAGATAGGGAGTGGAGGCTCCATTAGTATGGATTCTAAAATTTAAGAATAGACCTGAAGTAGCTAGAAAATAAAATTTTGACTGATCAATCAAATTTAAAAAATTTACAAATAAATTAAACAAAATCAAACAAAAAAAAGCTTCTACATATAGCTATATTAGGGAGTGCACCCATGCAGCAATTCCCAACAAACAAGCTGTAACTTTAAAACCAGTAAGTTTCTTTTTTAATATATATTTTTTTTATGTTCTATTTTTCCTCGTGCAGTGGGTCGTCCCATCGTTTGCCTCTCCATTATTCTTTCAACTTCTTTTTATTATTCTCCAAACTATGAAGGTATTTTCTTTCTCCTACCTCCTTTGATTTGAATGGCCGTTGTAAAACAACGGCGGTCTTGCTATAATAATTTTATATTAGGCCTTCTAAAGTCAGTGGTAGCTCGGAAGTTTTGTAAGGTCAGTATAGATAGTTGGATTAGTTTTCCGCTTTCGGTAATCCCAAGCTTAATAGATATGTCCACCTGTCCATGTTTAATTTTACCTCCAGCATAAGTTGATTTGCAACACATCGAACTCGACCCTTATATTTTCCAGTTGGGTTGGGTTGGATTGCAGTGTTGAGAGAAGGGGAAAGGAGACGACGGCAGGAGAGAAAATCTAGTAGAATTAGTAAATCTATGGAGAAAATCTAGGAGAGAACTTTACCTGGTCTCGTCTTCTTGAGTTCCGGTTGCAGCGGTACGTTCTGGGTGGATCTCGCGTGAGGAAGAACATAGCAAAGAGGCAGACGGCGAATGAGACAAAGTGAACATAAAGTAGGAGTCATCGAAATAGAGAGCAGTGCAGAGATCTGGGTAGATGGTAGTAGTGGTGTTAGAAGATGAAATAGGGGGGATGGGGAGAGCAAACAGGAGAAACAGGAGAGGGAAATGATGGGAAGATGAAACAGAGGTGAGACAGAGAGCCGATATGGGAGAGGAGAGAAGAAAGGGAGTGGAGCTCAATTAGTATCGGTTCTAAAATTTAGGAACAGACTAGTCGGTAGAGTAGGTAGAAAATAAAATCTTGACTCATCAATCAAATCTAAAAAATTACAAATAAATTAAACAAAATAAAAAAAAAACATCTACATATAGCTATATTAGGGAATTGCACCCACGCAACAATTCTCAACTAACAAACTACAACTTTAAGACCTCCCGTAAGTTTCTTTTCTAATGAATATTTTTTATATTTTATTTTCCTTTGTGTAGTGGGTCGTCCCATCCCATCGTTTGCCTCTTCATTATTCTTTCAACTTCTTTTTATTCTTCTTCAAGCTAAGAATGTATTTTCTTTCTCCTACCTCCTTGGATTTTAATGGTCGTTGTTGTACAACACCGGTCTTCCAATAAATAATATTATTTCCTTATTTAAATTTTTTTTTAAATAAAAACATTATTTTCAAATAATTTTCAAGGTCGTTGGAACCTCTCTGACCAATGGTTAGGGCTGTCAGGTCTTTAGGTCAGTTGTCAGGCCTGACTTCAGATTCCTCAAGTCAGTGATGGGGTGAGACAGTTTTACTCAGCTCGGAAGTTTTGTAAGGTCGGTATGGATAGTTGGATTAGTTTTTCACTTTCAGTAATCCCAAGCTTAATAGATATGTCAACCTGTCCATGTTTAATTTTACCTCCAACAGAAGTTGATTTGCAACCCAACCCAACCCAAATCTTATATTTTCAGGTTGGGTTGGGTTGGATCACAGTGTTGAGAGGAACAGGAAGAGAGACGAGAGCAGAAGACAAAATCTGGGATAATTAGTAAACTGATGGAGAAAATCTTGGAGATTGCTAGCATGAAGAGGAAGGAAAAGGGTTCATCGAAAAAGAGTGCAGTGCAGAGATCCAGGGAGATGACAGTGGCGGTGCTGGAAAGATGAAATAGGGGAGATGGGGCGAGTAAATGGGAGGAGAGGTACTGGGGAATACGAAACAGAGGGGAGGGGAAGGCCTAAATAGGAGAGGGAGACAGAGGAGAAGAAAGCGAGTAGGAGGCAACCAACTCTACAAAAAATGATATATATATTCCTTATTTTTTATATTTAATACCTTGTTTGGTTCAGTTCGATTCACGTTGAACGACCGAAAAAACATTCAATCTAAGAATTGAATCGAAAATTTTTATTATAGAAAAAATCAACCAAAACCTTACAGATTGGGTTGGGTTATGTCTAGGTTGTTCAGGTTATCGAGTGTGCTGAGCCCTCCTAATTAATGGTATTAAAGTGGATAATAACACAAATACACGTTGTACACTTAGAAGTTTCACTCTAGTTGTTAATGGCCACGTGGACGCGCTGAAAAGCCTATTATGAGATTTCCTGAAATATCATATATTATTATTCCATCGTTTGTTGTTCGCCTAATATATTTCAAAGAATCCATGTATATATGCCCTAATTCGCTTAGCATTTATAATGTAATTTATTGCAAATACAATATATAAGAATATATTCAATCTTTTAACTATTACCATACCTTTTCAGGTAGAGTATATATATGTTTTATATTTTTTTTATTCATTTTTAATAACAGACGAGGTTTTGGATATAGAGAAAAAATGATTTTTTATATAACGTCAAATACATCATATTTGCTATATTTGCTCTAGTTTGATTGTTAATATTCATAGGGGTGACTAAAAGGATTTGAACAATTGAGCTAACTGATCGAAACCGACAAAAATAAGTCGGTTGATCAGTCATAGGAGGCTCGATTGGTATCGATTCTAAAATTTAAGAACCATCTAGTCGGTCGATCAGAGTAGCTAAAAAAATAAATTTTTGACTGATAGATCAAATTTAAAAATTAAAAAAACTCTACGTATAACTATATTAGGGAAGGGTGAACACGTAACAATTCCTAACAAACAAGTTGCTTCTTTAAAACCAGCAACAAATTTCTTTTTTTATATATGTTTTTTATACTTTATTTTTCCTCGTGGGGTGGGCCGTCCCACCGTTTGCCTCTTCATTATTCTTCAAATTCCTTTTTATTCTTCTTCAAACTATGAATGTATTTTGTTTCTCCTACTTCCTTGGATTTTAGTCCATGCACCCACCAATTATATTTCAAATTTTCAAGTTCCATCTTTATTTTCTTTCTTTTTCACACTTCACACTTTCATAGCTCCGCAACCTCTCTTAACACTGGTCGTTGCTGAAACCCCCTTGGGTCGTCTCCGTACTTGACACAACTCGTGTAAAACAAAATTTGATTTTTTATTTTTATTTTTAAAACAAAGGACCTTCTCTTTTAGGGTATGGTTTAACATAAAATTATTAAAAAGCAAAAACGAATTTGAAAAAGATATAAAAATAGTAAAACCGACTTAACCGCCGACCATTCGGTGAATCAGCTAAATACCTAAAAAAAAAGTCTGTTCCATTTGTTGGTTTTCGGTGGCAATTTCGGCAACACCCCCAAGTATTATTTTTCTAATTGTATAAATTTTTTGATAAATATTTACTGTATTTCTTTTAAGACTTTTGTCCCATCATTTTTCAATAACCATTCTCTTGTTTATTTATTTATTTTTTAGATTTTAATTTAATAAATCCCTTTTTCCCTATAATTTTTTATTTGTCAGTAGGATTGTCCTATAAGAAAAAATTGGTTGGGAAAATGTAAGTAAACTTCTCTAATAAAAATGGGTTGGGAAAAATATCAGTATGAATTTCCTTTCAAAATGAGTTGAAAAAAATAAAGTAGGATTCCTCTAAAATCAGTTTTCGTGTTTAATCATTCAATAGTAGTCAAATCGAACATAGCTCAAGTGATTAAGACACTTATCTCTAATTAAAATGTCATGACTTGGAACTCCATCCCGTGACGTGGTATAAAAAGAATATAATTCAATAGCAAAAACCACATCTAATTTTGCTTTATTCCAATAAAAAAAAAAGGTAACATACTTGTCTAGATCCACGTGACATCCATGTGACTCGTGAGGTGTCGGCCAATCCTAAACGTGGATGACTGAGTTAAAACATGAAGCCAATTTCCAAGACATTTATAAATTTTGTCTTTTTGTAATATGCAAATTGGCCACTTTGACTGAAAAGAGGGGCCAAGCACATGGTTTTAAAGCACATTGTTTTATGTTTCTGTTTTACCAATCGAGGAAAACAAACCCTAAAAAACAAGCAATACAAATATTTCATTTTTGATTAAATTATGAGTTTGGTTCTAAGCTATTGACTTCCATATCCCAAAAAATTTTGGATGCATGTGATTAATACGTTTCTAAACTTTTAATATTATATTTTATTCATTCGTGTCAGTATTATCATCGGTTTAACCTTTAGTTTGTGCCAGATGAAAATTTTATTATTCGAGATTGTTTATTAGATTTATTTTGGGTACGTTCAAGAATCTAGTGGTGTGAATATTAAACGAAGAAAATACAAAATTGAGGGTTTAGATCTTGATTTTGTTTTTAATTTAATATTTTTGAAAATCATATTTTTTTCCTCATTGTTTTTTAATACGTTTTGAAAATACATTTGAATTATTTTAAGGGGAAAAAACAGGTTTTTGAAACAATTTGTAAAAAGTATAGAAAAGAAAAAAGAAAAAAGAAAGTAGTATTTATAAACATAATTTTAAAAAATGAAAAAGAAACAAAAATGATTATGGGACATATATTAAAAATTCATTAAAATAAGATATACAGACTAAATAATTAGATATTCTTTTTTTAGTACAATATGTTGGGAAAAAGGATCGAACTCATAACTTCATTGGAGGTATACTAATTACGATTGAATTATACTCGTTTTGAACTTTAAAAAAATATATTAAAAATCTTTCAAACCAGAGCGATTAAAACAAAAGTAGCCGCAATACTTCTCCACATACACTTATAATTTGATATTTAAATTTTTTATAATGAATAAAAAAGAAAACTTATAATTTCTCTTAGTTTATTGTGTGCCGAACTCCACCACTTGCACATTTAATGTACAAACAACGAACAAGTACACCAAAGTCCCATGTCGACCTCATCCCTCCCATTTGTAATCTTTTGGAGAGTTGCTTATGATCTTATCAAGTCATATAAATTGGAAGCAAAAGGCATTTCATAGAACATAAATCTAATAATTCGTGGGTTCATTAACTACTGGATGCACTTGCAACGTTAAGTTTCGTTGCAGTATGTCTACTTCTTCTTCCTCGTCACTTCCTCGAAATGGTTTTCTTGAGCACGAAAGTTTCGAGGAATTCTTCGAGATTTGGCTGTGTGAGCAAAATCGATACCTCAAAGACCTCATTTCCGTAGTCGAAAACCAAATGCAGCAGGATGTCGACACGCTCATCGACGATGTTGTTCGACACTACGAGAATTACTACAAGGTGAAGTCATGTTGGGTGGAGAAAGATGTATTGCACATGTTGAGGCCCTCCTGGAGATCATCCCTTGAAGACGCATTCCTTTGGCTTGGCGGGTGGCGGCCGAGCATGGCTTTCCATCTGCTCTACTCCAAGTCGGGGATGCAGCTCGAGGCACAATTGTCAGAGGTCCTTCGCGGCCTCCCCACCAACGACCTGGCCGACATCTCTTCCGACCAACTCATTCAAATCGACGAGTTAAAGAGGCACACCATAAAAGAGGAGAAAGAGACCACAGAGAAGATGGCTAAGCATCAAGAGACTATAGCGGATCGGTCGATGGTCGAGATGTCTCACATGGCGACCAAGTCTATAATGGAAGGAGAGTCACGTGAGTCCCCAATGGAAGGCAGGCTGAAGATGGAACTTGAAAGGAAAGAGGATGGTTTGCCGGAGGTTCTTCACATGGCTGATGAATTGCGCCTAAAAACACTGAAGGGCATTCTTGGAATTTTGACCAAACCACAAACGGTACATTTCTTGATGGCTGCTGCGGAATTGCACTTGAGGATTCATGATTGGGGAATACAAAGAGACTACTTGAAGCACTAAAAACAAAGAAATCCCAATAAAAATTTTTCCTACACTTCAAAAAAGTTTTTATCCCCTCTAAAGTTTTTTATCCCCCTCCTTTTTACGGTAGCATATCACTCATTACGTCTATTACTCATAAACTATATCAATAATAGATTATATCATTGATTAACGTTTATCATTGATATAGCCTATTAGTAATGTAGTATGTCGGACTATTTTAGTCTTTTTTATGAATGGATTTGATTCAGAATGTTGTTGTTTTATATATAATTAGTGGTTGTACTTGTTTTGTGATACATACCAATACCTATTTATATGGTCCAATTACAACTTAATCGTATTAATTTATATTTATTATATTACTGGTGCTTAAAATTTAAAAAGGCTATTACTAAAATGTAAAGTAATATTAACATCCTGTCTTCTTTAAACCATGTGTAGTTTTGATTTGCAATCATTTGTCTCACTAATCGTTTGAGAATACTAAAACTTGATGTGTACCTATATAATTTATGCGTCCACTGCCATCATCTTGGATGGTATGTAAAGATAAGATTCATTATAATGTTGGATACATACTGTTGTAATTATGCCCTAAAGCGTCGTAAATATCAATAAAACAATATAATCAGTTTTATGTGCACTACATATCATCTTGATAAGTTTGACTTTTTACTGTAGAAACGTTACTGTCGAGGTATGTTTGACCATGAAAACGAATATTTTTCCTTTGTATTTTATAAAAAGTGTTCACATATTCTTAAAATAGGATAGAAGGAGAATATTTTTAGATAAATTACAATATTGGGTGTTTGGAGTAAATTGAGTTGAATATGATTATTATATTAAATATTTATCTTTTATTTAAAAAAAAATATTAAGTATTTTACAGCCTAATCTTATAGATACTCATTTTATATGATACCTTCACTTGCAGGTATTTACATGAATGATTAGAATCAAATAATTTATAACATTTATAGAGTGGGTCATCGACCGTATCACAATAATGTTACTAGGATAGGACACCAAACCTTATTCATATACCATAGACACTTTAAGTAATAACATAACATAATGCTCTTGTAGGTAAACTACATATTGTTTAAGATTACATTTATAATCTTAGATTTTTACGAGACAGATAATAAATATTGTATATGATAAAAATGATCAAATAATTCAATTTTTATACAAAATAATAAAATATTAATTAAATATGAAGATTTAGGGCATGAATATCAAAACTTTTAGCGTTGATAGTGTGGGCCGAAGAGGTGGGGATTAACAATTTTGTTGTCGCAGAGCACTCTGATTTCTAGTTGTTATTTTTCAAAGTTTCATATTAATTATTGGGTATCTTATAAAAGGCAGAAGTGGAGATTAATTGGGCTTTATGTTAAACCCAGCGAATGAAAGAAAGTGGCATTCTTGGGCCTTTCTAAATATACTTACATATTTGAGAATTTACGCTTTGTCTCTATTTGTTATTCGATATTGAAAAATTGCCAAATCATATTTTGATAATAAAAAATGTTCATTTATATTCTTCTAACTGGTTTTCAACTTTCATATTTACACTTTTACCCTTTTAAAATCAAAATATTCGAACTTCCATTATCTCTCCTATATTTTATCCCACCTTGATTTTAGTTTTTTTTTCCTAACCACTATTATTATAAATTTAAATATATATGGAGATAGAATTCGCCAATTATAAGGAGACATCACATCGAGGGAGACGATCAAAGAGAGAATCTATCAAAGTCGAGTTGACGAGAGAGGAGAGGCAACAACGGTGGGCAACGTAGTGGGTTGCAAGTGGAGCGGGGTAAAGGAGAGGGATGCCTATATGTTGAGTTTTGATAGTTCGTGTCTTTTTTATTTGAGGTAGAGTGCTTTATATTTTTGTATTAATTGTTCACAAAATATATACATTATTTTTCCACACTATTTGTATTCTTTAGATGATATTGTTCACTATATTTGTTACTCTTTCCTTATTTTTATATTTTTGTACTAACTATGCACAAAAATATACCTTATTTCTTCCTACTATTTGTATTTATTTAGTTGATCTTGTTCACTGTATTTATTACTCTTTCCTTATTTTTATATTTTTGTATTAATTGTTCAAGAAAATACACCTCTCCGTATTTGTTCCTCTATTTACCATATTTGTTTCTCTGTTCACCGTATTTGTTGTATTTTTGTGTTCACCGTATTTGTTATACTTTTATTTCTCTGTTCACCATATTTGTTGTCCATACTTGTTGTATTTTTATTTCTCTATTCACCATATTTGTTGTCCGTACTTGTTGTATTTTTGTTTCTCTGTTCACCATATTTGTTGTTTATTATATTTTTGTTTGTTTGTTCACCGTATTTTTTATTTGTTGTTTTTGTTTCTTTGTTTACTGTATTTGTTGTGTTTGTTCATCAATTTGTTCTAGCTTGAGTGTTATTTCTATTTCTAACTATTTGTTTTCCTTAGATACTATTTGTTTTCCTTAAAGTTGTTAGTATAATTCTCTCATATTTTAATTGAAAAATATAGGTAGGATTCTTACAATATTTGAATTATCCTATAATGATTAGGTAGGATTGTCCTACGAAAAACGAAAAAGAACAAATTCATTTTAAAATGATTTTAGAAGAGGGTAATTTCGTACCTAATATATTAGTAAAGATCTTCCTACTTTTATGTTGGCCATTATTAAAAAGCGAAAGTTGTTTGACCATATTTTGAAATTGCCTATTTAAATTACCTATATCTATTGTTATGCCTAGATATTTTTTGAGAAATATAACAAACATTCCTCCAATCAGACCTATCCAGCGAGGATCTAACTAGTCTTCTTTTTTATAGAATGAAGCATATAATAGTTTAATCAATAATTAAGAAAATATTTGTTAGAGATAGAAAAACAAACACTAGAAAATATACTGGTTTGCCCAAACTTGGGACCACGTCCAGTCTTCTGTAGTAGCAGGTTCAACTATGATGGAAAAATTATGATGGGACTCGCTTTTCACTTTACCAATGCTCTCTAGATACCACAACATGACTACCTAGCTTTTAGACACTATGACAATGACTAGTTAGGAGTACAAATATGAAAAATCTCACTAAAATTGCGAGAACGAGCTACCGACAACACTTTATAGACCATGCTTCTCCTTTTCCATTTTACTCTCCATCAAAGTACCACCACTATCCCCTTAAAATTCTTCTGTAACGATCACTCGAAAAAGATACTTATTTTATGTTAAAAAAGAAGCAGCAGTAGAGACTTGGCTAAGGCGAAAATAAAATYAGATTTGAGCCCAAAAAGCTCTCTGACAAGATTGAAGTGTAGCATATATTTAATTGTTTTTATTCTTGTCTACACTTTCCAACAATCTACCACTTGCAGATAAAACATTGATCTTACCTCCCACTACTACTACAATCTCTAATCTTCTTAAGGTAAACATCAACAATTCTCTTATAACAATTTATGATCTTCTTGAAAACTTAAAGAGAGGAGCTGCAAAAACCAAAAATACAAGTAATAGGTGTTTCATATGTTTTTTCCTGAAGGTCGGGCAACCTACATGAACTTGTCTCTCAGACATAAAAGACACAGTCACGTACGACCACTCAAACAAAGTGGTAATGTCGCTGCCAACGATCTTAAAGAAAGAAGTTTCTTAATTTGTTGGCTTGACACACTCAGTCAACCTTGCTGCCAAGTTTAAGACTCCCTTCTTTATCTCATCACCTACTGGTGTCTTCCTCTTTGATGCATCCTTTCACTAGTGCAACTTCATCAATTCGCAAATTTGTCTAACAATTGGGCCTACACATGACAACCAATTGAGGTCTTCTCTTTTTAACTCCCTAATTTTTAAACCTCAGTCGATGGATCTATCCTAGTTGTCATTGATGCTGATTCTGTCCTGTCTTCCTTTAAACCACGTGCAGCTTTGATTTGCATCATTTCTCTCACTGATCCTTTGACAAGACTAAAACTTGATTTGCACCTTATATAATTTACGTGGTCCACTGCCATAATCTGTGATCCTTTAGTAAGTTTCTATAGGTTTCCAAAAAACTCAATTTGATAACCATCATCATCCAACTTACCTGTAGATATAAGATTTATTATAATGCTATGTACATACTGGTGTAATTATGCCCTAAAGTGTCGTAAGTATCAATAAAATAATATAATTATTTTTATGTGCACCACGTATCATCTTTATAAATTTGACTTTTTAATGTAGAAACCTTAGTGTCGGGGCATGCTTGACCATGAAAACGAACCTTTTTCCTTTGTATTTTCTAAAAAGTGTTTACATATTCTTAAGATGGGGTGTTTGGAGTAAAATTGAGATAAAACGTGGTCAAATTTGACAAAAACTGATAGATTTTCCATAATGTAGGAACTATGCGCCTGATGCTTTTTGGCACTACTAATCACATCCATCTTATAAAAATCCAAGGTTAGTGGGGTAAACATTAACAATATGTGGTTGATATATAGGAGGATTATGTTTAAGTAGTAACCTAAAGAGTCTACTATATAGATAAGGTTGGGTGCGTTATCTTAGTAACACTACTGATACGACTCAATTATAAATGTTACAAATGAACGAGTGAGCT